GAAAGATTAGGGCAGAAAAGTGTTGACTTAACATAGCGATTAAGAAGGTAGTATGAGGAACACGGAAAAAGCATTTGAGGGGTGGGTAGGGGGAAGAAGGCAGAAGATAGATTACAGAGTGTTAAGAAGTAAATGGTAGAAGTGACAATGTGGAAATGGCTAGTAAGGACATTTCTTTCAAGAAACTTGGACTGGGTGTGGTGGCTCACACCTGTGATCCCAGAACTTTGGGAGGCTGAGGCAGGTGGATCACTTGAGGTCAGGAATTTGAGACCAGCCTGACCAACATGGTAAAACCCCGTCTCTACTAAAAATACAGAAGTTAGTCGGACTGTGGTGGTGCAGCCTGTAGTCCCAGCTACTCGGGAGGCTGAGGCAGGAGAATTGCTTGAACCTGGGAGGCAGAGGCTGCAGTTAGCTGAGATCCTGCCCCTGCACTCCAGCCTGGGCGACAGAGTGAGACTCTGTCTCAAAAAAAAAAAAAAAAGAAAGAAAGAAAGAAAGGAAAAAAGATAAAAGAAACTTGGTGGCGAATTAAAGGAGGGCAATAGGTCAATGGAGAGAAATTTCAAGGTCAAATGGAGAGTAGTTTGTCTTTTAATTTTTTTCTTTTGGATGAGAGAGATTCATTTCTTCCTCTTTTTCCTTTTCTCCTCCCCCTCTCTCTCCTTTTCCTTCTTCCTCTTATTCCCTGCACCTGAAAAAGCTGAGGCTAAGAGAGATTAAGCTATTTTCCGTGGTTCCATAATTTTTTTTTTTTTTTGAAATAGAGTTTTGCTCTTGTTGCCCAGGCTGGAACGCAATGGCATGATCTCGGCTCACCACAACCTCCGCTTCCCTAGTTCAAGCGATTCTCCTGCTTCAGCCTTCCGAGCAGCTGGGATTATAGGTATGTGCCACCACGCCCGGCTAATTTTGTATTTTTAGCAGACACAGGTTTTCTCCATGTTGGTCAGGCTGGTCTCAAACTCCCGACCTCAGGTGATTCGCCCGCCTTGGCCTACAAAAGTGCTGGGATTATAGGCGTGAGCCACTGCGCCCGGCCAGTTGCATAGTTTTTAAATATATTTTATGCCAGCAGGAAGAACCCAGTGTCCATTGGAAAACAAAACATAAAGTGATTTTAGCTTGACCGTTTTTGTAAGTGTGGGCTCAGCGAGTGAGACTTACAGCATGGAAATTTGAAGTTCAAAACAGGCCCACATGCTAGAAATTTAACAGGTGTAGAAGAGAGATTATGATGCTGTAGTCTGGTCATGTAATAGCTAATTTTAATCGAGCACTTACTATTTGCCTAGCACTGACTTAAGCACTTTACCTGCATTATCTCTCTCTCTCCCTCTCTCTCTCTCTCTTTTTTTTTTTAGAGTCAGGATCTTGCTCTGTCACTCAGGCTAGAGTACAGTAGTGCAATCACAGCTCACTGTAACCTCAAACTCCTGGGCTTAAGCAATCCTCCCACCTCAGCCTCCCAAGTAGCTATGACTACAGCTACAAGCCCACCAGGTCCAGCTAATTTTTACATTTTTTTGTAGAGACAGGATCTCACTATGTTGCCCAGGCCAATATTGAACTCCTAGCCTCAAGCAATCCTCCTGCTTTGGCCTCTCAAAGTGCTGAGACTACACCCTGCCTGAAATTATCTCATTTAATTCCCACGACAACCCTATGAAGTAGGTATTGTTATTGCCTTCATTTAACAGATGCAAAACCAAAGCACAGAAAAAATTTGATGATTTGCTCAAGGCCACATAGTTACTGCAGGCTGGATATTTCAGAGCCTTCAAATGTCCTTTTAGAGGAGGAAACTGAGACTGAGGGAGGTGAAGTCATTTGTCCAAGAACCCGTATCTAGTAAGTGCTGGAATTGTAATTCAAACCCAGGCTCTGTCTGGTACCAAAGCCACCACACCGTTTTAATCACTACACTGTCATGAATGCAAGCTATTAAAATGAAGAATATGTGTATATTTTTCTCCATTCAGCTCTGTAAGGCTAAATGTTCCCTGAATTTAGATGATGGTAAGAATTTGCTCTATTCCATCAAATTGATAGTAAGAGCATGTATTTCCTTGGTAATGCCCTATACAGTATAATGCAACCAGGATATATGTAGAAAGCCTCGTGGTGAAAGCTGAGACTGGGAAGAACAGAGCTACACAGGCAGAGTGACAATAGCTGAGTTCTCATGTGACTTCTTCAGGTGGCTCCCTGACATCAGATTTACTTCATCATCCTTCCATGAAGAGAGTGCTCTGTGAGGGAGGAAGCCCCTAGCTCAAATACCTTTCTAGGATTTCCTAACAAGCTGTTCTGACGCCACCAGCCCAAGTTCATAGACTGTACGCGTTACCCTAGTTCTGAAGTATCATCATGTATCAAAGAGTGTGAGCTGAGAAGACCAGCTTAATTGCTATGCCCTCAGAAATGACTGGCCTTCCAGTGAGAGCTTATGTGTGGAGCAGGCAGAGGCCAAAATCCCTGCTACTGTACTCACTTGTCACTGCCAGGGCTCTTATCAGGTGATTAGTTTTTGAAATATAGCTTGACACTAGTCTTCAGATTTGGAATATTACTAATCTTTAATCAGAACATTATACATTTTATTCAGAGCAGGAGTGGAAGTTTATTAAAACGCTTTAGAGCAGGAAAGAAAGGAAAGTGCACTTGGAAGAGATTCAAGTGGGCAACTTGAAGAACAAGTGCCCCGTTTAACCGTGATCCTAGGACTTTATAGGCTGGCCCACCTCCAGTGCCTTGCTCCCCTTTCCCATGATTCTTCCCTTAGGGTGGGCTGCCTGCATGCACAGTGCCTTCCTTACCCTTGGGAAGTGAGCATGTGCAGTGTGTTTAGGAAGTTGTGCTCTTGAGAACATTATCATTCTTAATTCAGGGATATGATTTACAAGGTTTTGCTGTCTTCTTAGCTTAGGTTCTGTTACACTCAAAGACCAGTGTGTGTGTGTGTGTGTGTGTGTGTGTGTGTGAACTCTATCTGATTTTATAAGATCTCTTCTGGGTCTATTTTTCTTTGACCAATAAGTTCACAGAAAGAGAATGAATGTGTTATACAGCAAACTGAGTAGGAAGTCACACTATCATTCTACATGCACATACTGAGTGTTGCTAGGTACCAGGAGCTACGTGAGCTAAAAAGTTGTATAATGGCCAGGCGTGGCGGTTCACCCATGTAATCCCAGCACTTTGGAAGGCCAAGGCAAAAGTATCCCTTGAGCCCAGGAGTTCAAGACCAGCCTGGGCAACATAGTGAGACCCTGTCTGTACCAAAAAAAAAAAAAAAAAAGTCGAATAAGACACAGTCTTTGCCGGGAAAGAGCTTATTCTACATGTCCTCCATTGAGCAGATGATAATGCTACCTGGCTTCCTAATTCCCTGGTGTTTCCCATGCTTGGTTGATTTGTCTTTCATCAGCAGCACTGCCTAGGAAGACCATTAATCCTAACATAGTGAAATCAAATTTAAGATTTGATTGCAAGAAATGATAAGATAATAATCGTTCATTGAGAGTGCAGATAGGCAAGTGAGAACACACAGAAAGATTCCCAGGAAGTGATACGTTCTGGACAAAGTTGAGATATTTGCACGGCCCTGTGAAAAGAGAAAATGACTTCAAGAGTCAAGCTAACCTTTCAACTAGAAGCATGCCCATTCTTTGGTGACAGGTAGGGGAAAATGCTTATGGGAGAAAGCTAAAGGAATAAATTTTATTCACTACCTTTCTTACACACAGAAAGCTCTTTTTGCTTTGCCTGTGAATTCTGGGAGAGCAAGAGGCTGTGGTTGTAGAATGAGGGAATAAAAGATGACAGATCACTGGTTTTCCAGAGAGCAGAGCAAACTGAAGGGAAGATGGAGATGCTGACAGCCTTAACAAAAACTAACCAAATAAAGCCTTGCCCTGGAAAAATAGATGTATAAACTATTTAGCTGGCATTAAATATTAAAAATGAATTAATGAAAACCCCCCAAATACTTTATTTATGCAGGAACTTTTTCCCCTTTAAAAAATGCTGTTTTAAATCTCAACATTACTTCAGGTGTGATCTAGGCAGAAGGTAGTGTGGTCTCTGCAGGGGTGAGTACTATAAGAATGATGATAAATCAAAGTAACTTCCAAGTGAGCCTCTTGTGACCTCCTGCTGATCCACTGTGGTAAGAAGTGTTCAATTTTTATTCCATGATTGAGGGATTGCTAGGTGACAGATGCTCCCAGTGAGACAGAGTATTTCCCAGCCCCTGTACATATCTGGGAAGGGTGAGGAAAATGAAAGTCATTTGCACCTGATTCTGACAGGGAGCAATTCTGATAGGGAGGAATAACACCTTCCACCTGGCATTGCCTCTGAGTAGCTTTGTGTGCTCCTGTGGGCTATTATGTTGGTTGGTACTTTGGCTTCTTTGGCTCCCAGCACCAGCTGATGCCCTGATGTGAGTCCCAGTTGGGCAGGCTCTATTGCTCAGTGCTGTAGCTGTCTCCAGGGCATTGTTCTTGAGACTTCCAACAGGGCAGATTTGTGCAGTTGGCCCATCTGGACAAGATCTATAACAAGTAGAGCTTTGTGCAATAAGGTCATCTCCATAGTCCACCCTCCCACCCTCGCTACCCCCGCCTTCGGGCTGCAGCAGCCTGACACCCCATCCCCTCCATGGAGTGTATCAAAGAGATGCTCTCTGCCCCTTTCAAAGGAGTATTGCTTGTGGCCTCTCATTGATTGGCACTACCTGGACAGAAATAGGAAAACAGGGGTTCTCTGCCCTTCTCAATTCAATCTGCTCCCTTATGCCAGTTCTTTAATTTAAATCTCTTTGGCACCAGAGTAATAATATTGCCAATAAAAATAATTTCTGGACCAGCTACTTTGTCAGCTCAGAATGCTCTCCTCAAAACTAAGTGACAGACAAGAGGAGTATCTCAGTGAACAGGAAAGAGCAGAAAAGTGCAATAGGAAAAGGGATAAAGACAAAGCCAAGCTCTTGGTTTGATTATAGGATTTGCTTTGAACATTGGATTTATTGACTTTCAGTTGGGAACACCATATGGAGGGAGGGAGGGAAGGAGGAAGAGAGAGAGAAAAGGAGAGAGAGAGAGAAACAGAGAGACTGAACTTATGTGTTTAATTATTCTAGGTCCAGAGAAAAGGACAAGATGTCTAAGAGATCATTTGATCACTTCTTTCTTCCGGTGTCAGCCCCACACTTTAATCTCTCCTGTTGCATTTGCTCACAGTTGGTCACTTCAAAGGTCTCAGTATGCCAGGCACATGCTTCCCCAAGTCCCAGTGGTATGTCAGGCCTGAAATGGGCTCTTCCACACCAACCCTCTCTATTCTGACATTTCTGGCAGCTTCAACTGACCGCTACACCTACTGACTGCTTCTCCTTGTAGAGCAAGAAGGATAAAGAAATGACTGAATTATGGCTCTAACTTCTACAACTGCTACCCTGAGGTTGGTCAAATAAATGTTGATCTAGGATAGGGGTCCTCGCCATGCCTAGTTTCTCCCCAGGAAACTTGAAGCCCACTCTATCCTTAACAAGGTTGCAGTGGCACCATTATCTGCTCACCAGAAGAAGGTGAAGGACCAGGTTGGAAATGAGGGGCCCTGGAAAATAAAGAGACTTTGGAGAAAAAGAAGAAACAAATTAAAGCCCAGCCAACAAAAGACACTCTGAATAGTTTCTGCATTCTACTCCTCCTGGGCTCCACTACCTTGAATCTCACTTTTCTCAAAAGTTTTCTAGCATCATCAAGTTAAGTTTCTTAAAGAACAAACATTTATCTCTTTTTACACTCCCCAGCTGTACAAAAGACCCTGCCACCATGCTAGCTAATTAGGGAACAGAACAAACATTTCTGAGACCAGAATGTTCAGGTGGATCTGAAAGAGTAGTCTTTTTGAGACCCCAGAGTCTCTGCCCCAGTTCTGACAGTGTGGGACTTCCGAGGAGACTTGAACACCTCTCTGTTGGGCCATATAGTCACTAGCCCAGTGCAGCCTATGAGCATTCCAACCTTATCAAGAGTTGGGGAAACTGCAGCTTTGCCTTCCTCTCACTGCAAGGAAACCTGACTGAACCACACAGGACAGTGCTTGTGGATAGGAAAAACTCCCTATTTGAGTCTGCAGCAGGAGATACAGAGGACAGAGTAATGGCCAGGCTCTGGGTGGGAGGTGGCAGGGGGAGAAGTGGTTCAGATTAAGATTGCAAATGCCAGAATCTACTAGCAGTGTTCTGAAGTCTCCACTGGAATACTGGAAAACAGAGAGGCTCCAGCCAAGGGCAGAAGGCAATCCTAGCCCTAGGAATGTGGCCAAACCTTAGTCTCATGAGAAATGGGAGAGTATGGAGAAAATATAGACTACAGTAGATAAGCCATCTTTATAAGTACAGCCACCATTGGTACCATGCAGTATAGGCCCACATAGCTTTGGGACTGATAGTTGAAGTTCTGAGTGGGAGATCGGGGCGGAACTGTCCGAGCCCCTGATGGAGTCTGATTGAGGGGAAAAGCCCACCCAGGAGGAAGCAGGAAGCCAGCAGCAGGACTCTGTAGCTCCCACCCTATTCACAGAGCCTGGTGGATATCTTCTGACCGTACCACTTTGTAGACAACCCAGTAGAAGATATTGAAGATGAGGAAAGTGAAAGGGAAGACAGCCCGGGAGATGGTGTCAATTCTCTTTGCTCGGTCCACGTAGAGTTTTCGCATGGTTTCTCCTTCCCTTAGAAGAGGGGCTGGAGGTTGGGGACTATAAATGCCAGAACCTTCCATTGGACCTCCATCTCTTGCCTGCAGGCAGTGGCCCAAGCCATAGCCACGGAAATAAAAACGACTTTCTTGGATGATATCTTCCTCCTGAATTAAAAGGAAGAAAAGACAGAATTTGAGGTCAAAGCTCAAAGGCAGAGGGATAGAGAACAGGCCACACATCAATATCTCACAGGGCATGTTATGCAGACAGGGTGGCTTAGGTACACAGGCCCATTGTATCCTTTTTGTGGTCACAAAACTACTCTTGAGATAAATGTATGCTAAGCAGCTATACATGCTACATATGGTGTATGTTATGATTCCATTGCAGATAGGCCCCAAGCTACCCATGTAAAATGCAAAACACCATTTAGAGCCAACTAAAATCCAGTGAAGTGCCAGCCACTGTGAGAAGACATCTTACTGGCAAGTTACCTGCAACTGGTAATAAACAAAACAAACAAACCATTAGATAGTGAAGCTGAGATATTCAGTCTTAGTAAACTTGATTTTAATGACTTTCAAAAGCTTCAGAATTTGTTTCCCTTTTACATTGTATCTTTGAAAATTTATCTCAACTTGAAGCTGAAAATTTCAAAAGTTTTAAATAACCTAACGGGTTGTCCAAATTAGGATAAAGCTGATTACTCTGTTGCAGATATGTATGCTTCTCTGCAAATCAGCAGAGTTGACATAGGGGTCAGTACATCCAGGGTAACTTTTACTACCCAAGGCACATTCCATTGATATACAATGCATGCATTAGGATAAATACATGCCCAGCGAGGGGTAAATTTTATATAAGCACTAAGTAATGTGGCAGACTGCCGAAAGCCCATTTTCCAATAGTTAGCTGACAACCTTCAGTAGCTAAATGCAGCTAGGAGCCAGGAAGTAAGGACAGAAGAATAAAGTTGAGAGAGAGAGAGAAAGAGAAAACCAAAACCTCTGAGTGTCAATATAGAGAGTGTTACTTACATGAGGCCCTCAGGCCCCCATTCACAGACTATTTAGTCTTATTTTATATGTAACCCTAACAAGCCTAAATTTATTTACTTCTAAAGAACAGAGTTAAGAAATGCTTCCTTCAAGTTAGTTGAAATTTCTTAAAGTATTTATGGTTTTAGAGTCAAAGCTTCAGTTATCTGAGAAATCACCTGAAGTGCAATGCCCCCTTGGAGGATGACACAAACTATCATCTCATTTTGCCCAGGACAGAAGGGGTTGCTGAGACTTGGGTCTTTCACAGCTGAAACTGGGGATGTGCAAGGCAAATCAGGAAGAGTTGGTCATCCTGTGGCTACCTGAGGTATTTACTATAAATTATAAGAAAAAGTTATGTATAGGCCAGGCACGGTGGCTCACACCTGTAATCCCAGCACTTTGGGAGGCCGAGGCGGGTGGATCATGAGGTCAAGAGATCGAGACCATCCTGGCCAATATGGTGAAACCCCATCTCTACTAAAAAGATACAAAAATTAGCTGGGCATGGTGGTGCGCACCTGTAGTCCCAGCTTCTCAGGAGGCTAAGGCAGGAGAATTGCTTGAACCCAGGAAGCGGAGGTTGCAGTGAGCCGAGATCACAGCACTGCACTCCAGCCTGGCACCTGGTGACAGAGCGAAACTCTGTCTCAAAAAAGAAAAAGAAAAAGAAAAACATATGTATATATTGTATAGGTATATGACATAGATATATACAAATGTGGATAAAGTAGGTTTTAAACACTCTGTCCCTCTCAGTTAGAGGGACACCACAGGGTCTTTATCATGGAACCTCTGCAGCTATGGCACCACATTGAAAAGTGGCTTTGTAGATGAGATGTTGGTATGGTAGGTCCTAGTAACCCTTGATGACAATATCACTAAAAGCTGACATATCATCATAAGGACAGGCCTTGGTTCACCTCACATGCATTCTGTAATTCATTTTTACACTATTCTGACAGGAGAAGTGGTGCTGGACCCATTTTCGAGATGAAGAACTAGAGGCAAACAAAATATTTTGCAAGAATTTTAAAGTGAGTGGAGTAAGTAAAATGGTTTTCTCTCTTGCTTTCCAGTTCAGGGTCCCTCAAGATCACCCTATTCCTCAGTCCTCACCCTGATCCCCTGAGCCCCACCCCAGCTAGAGGATGTAAGCATAGCATGTTGGCAAAAAAGCTCTGAGGGGAAAAGTTGGACCCAACTGCTATTTCTGTTTCTATAGAGGCAATTATTTTTCCTTTTCTCCAATTGTAGTAAATCTAAAGGAAGTCATTTGGACACATTTCCCAGGCTGGAAAAAGCCATTTCACACAGGAGAGAAAATATGGCCAATAGAGTAAGCTGCTCTTGGCTTTTTGTGACTTTAACATATTGTACCTGTTGCAGCTGGGGGAGCAAAGATGAGTGGCTTGAAATCCAGGGGCGGTGGGGAGGGGTCCTGCATTTGGGTATTCTCTACTTAGGCCAAATTCTGAGGGTGTTTTGTGTGTGTGTGTGTGGGGGTGTGTGTGAGGTGTGTGTGTGTGTGTGTGTGGTGTGTGAGGTGTGTGTGTGGTGTGTGAGGTGTGTGTGTGGTGTGTGAGGTGTGTGTGTGGTGTGTGAGGTGTGTGTGTGTGGGGGGGTGTGAGGTGTGTGTGTGTGTGTGGTGTGTGAGGTGTGTGTGTGTGTGTGGTGTGTGAGGTGTGTGTGTGTGTGGTGTGTGAGGTGTGTGTGTGTGGTGTGTGAGGTGTGTGTGTGTGTGGGGGGGTGTGAGGTGTGTGTGTGTGTGGTGTGTGAGGTGTGTGTGTGTGGTGTGTGAGGTGTGTGTGTGTGGTGTGTGAGGTGTGTGTGTGTGTGGGGGTGTGAGGTGTGTGTGTGTGTGTGGTGTGTGAGGTGTGTGTGTGTGTGTGAGGTGTGTGTGTGTGTGTGTGCTGGAAAGGGACGATGGAGCCTTAAATACCACTTGGTGGCTTACGTGCCTGTTGAAATAGAACTTTTTTTTTCCCTTGCTATCTATAGGGGAGAAGAACTGAAAAGTAAGAGAGGGAAGATATTCCAAAACCACACACACTAAGGAGGGAATGCACAGTGTAGGAGGTAAGGTGTGGAGATGGGAAAGAGTGATATGAATTGAAGTGAGAGGAGCTAGAAAAAAAGAGATGGGAGAATGGGGAAGGAAGAGGGTGCTGGAGGAGGAAGAGAGGTGGGCAGGGTTCTGGGATCAAGCCCCTGAGATAACTGGGCAGTATTTTGAAATTTCTTCCAGTCTCAAGTTATTCCATTGATCATGGCAAACTTTTTGCTCTGTCCACTTTGAGAGTCCTCTCCAATTAGCCTGTAAAAGTTGGTGAGCTGGGTTACATGACTGCTGTGGCCAGAGCCTGGTGCTAAGGCCTGCTGAGGAGATGGAAAAGAGCTTCCCCTTCCTGGGGAAGCTAATGGACTAGCCGGGAAGACAGTGCAGGATCGCATGGGCAAAAGTTAACCACTTTAGGCAGTGACATGAAAGGGGGTCACCATGCTATGGAGTTGTTGGGTGAGGAGAGAGTTGAGAAAAAAAGGCCTGAATGACTGGCTGGCTCCTAGAATACTTGTAACTGACTCTTGGCTAAGGGTTCCCTGGAGATCATATGGCTTTTCTCCCTGCCTTGATAGTGCTCCTCCCAGACTGAAGAATTCTTTTTCTCTAGCTGGAAGAGTAGGGCCCAGACAGAGGTTCTAGAAATGGATGAACTCTCCATCAACTTTTACAGCCTGCTTGGTGTTTCCAAAATTCCTGCTACAGTTTCTGGGATAACAATGACTTTAGAAGACTCAAAAAAGGACATGATGAATGACATGGGTTTGATTTTCAGTTTTATTCAAGTTAATAATAAGCCTCAGCCCACTTTCAGGCAGGCCCCAGGATCCTAAGCAAGGCCCAGGCTGCTGCTGTGACTTTGTAATAATTGAGCACTGGTCATGACAGACTCCATTATGAGCTCAGAGTCAGCCTATACATATGAGCAGGATGGGACAGGCTGCAGGCAGTTGAGGGTTGCCGGCGTTCAGGAAAGGAGGTGGGACCACTGTCAACCTGGAGTAGTTCTACAGTAGCGATGGCAGCATTTTTGTTGCTGGGACATCCATACGGGCAGTTTTGCTGGTGAAAGGACTCTCGATTGGTTTGCAGTCTTTTTTTCCAAGGTAGGCATTGAGAAGGCACCAAGATCAAAACCCCTAAGATTTTGGTACCTGCAGGCAGATTTGTTTGACACAGCTAAAGAGCGGGTAGGGCCGGGCGCGGTGGCTCAAGCCTGTAATCCCAGCACTTTGGGAGGCCGAGGCGGGTGGATCATGAGGTAAAGAGATCGAGACCATCCTGGTCAACATGGTGAAACCCTGTCTCTACTTAAAAGGAAAAAAAAAAATTAGCTGCGCATGGTGGCGCGTGCCTGTAATCCCAGCTACTCAGGAGACTGAGGCGGGAGAATTGCCTGAACCCAGGAGGCGGAGGTTGCGGTGAGCCGAGATTGCGCCATTGCACTCCAGCCCGGGTAACAAGAGCGAAACTCTGTCTCAAAAAAAAAAAAAAAAAAAAAAAAGAGCGGGTAGGGACAGTTAGCTTAGAAAATGGAGCGTTCTTTTTTCTTGCCTTTCTGCTAGGTGTATATATATATTTTTCTAACCCTTGGTACGGGATAGAAAATGCTTTTAGGTTTCTTGAAGAATGAGTCCTACTCCAGGACATGTAGTTGTGGATTAGTCCACTAGAGGGAGTACTGCCCGGGGCCCAACTAAAAGACTAAAGGGCAGGGACTGATACATTCAAACCCATGGAGGAGACAGGAGTCCTGCCCTCAGCAGAAAGGGACCTTAGCAAGGGACATGAAACCCAGGAGGTAGTTTGGGAGATATTTTTAGCGCGGACATATGGTAGGGGTGCCCCAGGAGCAGCTGAGGTGGGAGGAGAGAACAGTTCTTGTGCTAGTGTGGCTCAGACAAGCTAGAGTCAGGTTTTTAACAGTGGGTTCAGAGCATTGTTTCCCATCCCCCAGAGGTCATTATGCTCTTGCCTCTCTGGCTTTAGAGCCTCCGGATAAGACAGAAAACATGGAGTCAGAGCTGAAGACAGACCAGAACTCTGTCTCTAATGATTAAGCAACCAGTATGTAGCTCAGCAAGGCTTTCAGCTTTGCTCATAATTGGACACTTGCTTCTGTGAGGCTGGTCCAGCTACCTCTGTTGTCATGACAACTTACCTAGCACCTATTGTCTGGGTAATTGGGGGCAAACTGGCTCTGTTGTCATGACGACAAGATGTCTTTTATATTTCCCCAGGTGATCACTCCACTGTAGAAGAAATGAGGTTAATAGACAAGAGTGAGGGAGAACAGAAGCCCAACAACTCTAATGCAACCAGTGAAGATGGAGAAGAAGAAATCCAACAGTCAGAACAGGCAAGTGGTGGTTTCGCAGTTCCAACTTGGTTATGGGGCCTCTTGTAATGCTCTCCCGGAAAGGCACCAATGCCTGGCTGCTGAATTCTTAACCACCAATTAGTGTATGATAACCTGGGCTACATTCCTCCGGGTTGGGGAGAGAGCCATTACTACTTCTCAAAGCAATCTCTTATTAGCTAACTTGGTAAGGTTCTAATACTAGCTAACATATCTTCAGTGCTTATTCTATGCCAAGCACTGTGCCCATGCCCTTAATCACTCTACTATACCATCTTACAGATGTCCCATTGGACAAATAAGGAAACAGAATCAAAGAGATTAAAGTACTTAGCTTAACTGTGACCAGCCTAGTACTAGAATCTGGTGTTTCTGATTGCTTCTCTAGTCCTTGCAGCCTTGGGGTGGATCTTGATTTGTGGGAGGAGGAGTAGGGAGGAAGGAGTCCAAAGGAGAAAGGAAGTGGGCCCCTCCCTAGTTGTACTCACCATGCGTTGGCGCCTTTGCCTTCTTCGAAGTCGTATGAATTCTTTATGCTGACGAGAAACAAAATTGACAGCAGCGTATTCCAGCAAGGCAGCAAACACAAAGAGCAGACACACAGCCATCCAGATGTCGATTGCCTTCACGTAGGACACCTACAACATCCAACAACAGAACAGTCAACCTTCTTGGAGTCCTTCCATGGCCTGTTGAGTGGATTGTCAACCCCTATCGATTGCCTGCTGTTTTTGAACTTTATCCCGAATTTCTTCTAGTGTTTAAAGCAGCTTTCCACGACATATTACAATGTCTGAAGGCCCACATGGAAACGACCATGCTGCCTATCATACTTCATCTCTGTGCACTCTCTACCCTCTACAACGACAACTCTTTCCTTCTTACAAGTCTTTCCCCTGCTTGCTTTATTCTTCTCATACTTCTGCTTCTGCATTTATTATTGTCTTAATTCTGATCTTCTGATTCTTCTCTTTCAATAAACAGCAATGAGCATGAACATTGCATTTGTCTTCCCTCTGTTATCTCCTGGGGTCCTCACAGCTTCAATGGTAATTGGTCAGGCAGAGTTCACGATTCCTATGTGAGACACATGAGGACATTTAAGGTCTAGAACAGAAGAGTCTTAGCCAAGATTACCAAGTGAGAAGATGGCACTAGGACCCGGAGGTTCCAAGTTTTCAATTCAGTGGCATTGCCATCTACCTAGGCTGTGGTCTTGCTGACAGACTAGGAGTTCTTTCCTTTCCCTCCTCCACCCCTGTTCTTCCCTTGGGCCGGTGGTTTTCCTTATTGCTCTTTTGGAAAGGCTCTGCTGAGGAATTTAGCTCAGTAGTGAGCTGGGACCTCATCTCTCACCCTGGAAAGAACAGGGTAGGGATACTGAGGGAACACCACTCACCCCTTGTCAGGATGCTTTGCTAGTTGCAAGGTGCTGTTCGCATGCGCCTACCCAGTCCCTTGTACTCTCCTCTCACTACTTTCCTTGGCAGCCTCTATGTACTTTTGTCTCCCACTTTCTGGCCTCTTCCAGGCATTGCAGCTGGTTGGGGCCAGGAGTAGGGGAAAGAGCTCAGGTTTAGGTCTTTTCATTTCCTCAACTAGACTGCCTCCTACATAGTTTTGAGCTGCTGAGCTCACCATATAGGGCACCCCAGCAGGAACAGGATTTCAGACAGGCCGCTTCTTTCATCAGCCACTGCTATGATGGGAAGTGAGGGTGCTGCAGACCCCAGGTAAGGAGCCAGTTTTACTGGATAAATAAATCCTCGATCTCAGTGGTTCTTAACTGAGGACAACCCTGCCCCTCACCAGGGACATTTGGTAATGTTTGGAGACATTTTTGGTGGCACAATTTTGCCGGGGGAGGTGGCTACTGGCATCTAATGGGTACAGGCCAGGGATGCTGCTAAACATTCTACAGTACACAGTTCCCTGCCTGGCCTTCAACACACACACAAATACACACGTGCACACACACACACACACACACACACGTGTGTGTATGCAATAAAGAATTATTTAGCCCTAAATGTCAAGAGTGCTAAGGGTGAAAAACCCTGCTCTAACTCTTTTAGGGCAATGTCACTGAGATGGTTGCAGTGGGTTACTAGGCAACCCTGATTAAGCATCCCTTGGTGTCTCCACTTTGCCACTTACTAAGAGGGCATCCTATTTCATTCACCATCTCTCAGTCCCACAACGCCCCAACGATATCAAATACCTGCTATCAAGATCAATAATAAGGTAATTACTCATCATTGTAAAGGGATGGCCACGAAGGTCCTTAGAGCATCAAAGGAAAAGACACCGTAAGCACTAGGAAGAAAGTCCTGTTCATGATGTAAATATCTCGGCCAGGCGCAGTGGCTCATGCCTGTAATCCCAGCTCTTTGGGAGTCCGAGAGGCAGATCACTTGAGCCTAGGAGTTCAAGATTAGCCTGACCAACATAGCAAAACCCCTCTCTACTAAAACCACAAAAAATTAGCTGGGTGTGGTGGCACACGCCTGCAATCACAGCTAGTGGGGAAGGCTGAGGTGGGAGAATCACTTGAACCTGCGAAGCAGAGGTTGCAATGAGCCGAGATGGTGTCACTGCACTCCAGTCTGGGTGACAGAGCGAGACTGTTGCAAAAATAAATAAATAAATGCATACATAAACAATGAAATAAATAAATGAATAAATAAATGAATGTCAGGAATCTGTCCACTCACTATCCTAGCACAACTGAAGGGGTGCAAGTTTTGTGAATGGTCTCCTTGCATCTACTCTTGCTACCTCCAATCTGTTCTCCAAATAGCAGCCAGAGTTGTTTTCAAAATGTAAATCTGATTATATCACTCCCCTTTACAATGCTTCAGTGGTTGTCCATTACCCTTAAGATACAGTCTATGCTCCCCTTACCATGATATCTAGCCTTTGCCCACCTCTTCAGTTTCATCACACCCCTTGTAATCTATGACACCTGTGGTGTCTATCTCAGTAGTTTCCCAAAGAGCCAATCCCCTCTATCCCTTCTCTCATTTACATGGATAACTTTTACTTATCCTTCAGCTTTCACTTTAGATGCCACATACCCTGGGAAGCCTTCCCTAATCATCCCAATCTGTGTTGATTGTCCTACTATATGTGCTCAGGTTACCTATAACTTCTTAGCCTCCATCACATACTTGGCCATTCCCTCCACTAGACTGTGAGCTCTTTGATGGCAGGGTCTGTTTCTATCTCGATCACTGTTCTGCTTCCAATGCCTAGCTGAGTTTCTGGTGCACAGTAAATATTTTTTTGAATGAATAAACGAACAGATAGATGGTTTAGCAACATGTGTATATCTGCTGACCTCTGCTTGCTGTCTACCCTCCTTACTACTACCTGCCCCAATAGCTGTCGGCATTTATTTAGATGATAGAATCTAGACAGAAGTGGCTCCTCCCCTGCTGCAACTTTAGATCTAATCTGCTAGCCTCTGGAAGAAACTTCCATTTAGTCCTTCCATTCTTTGAGCTTCCTGCAGTAGAGGAAATCAAAGACCTGGCAAAGAGATGGTAGTCAGTGCCTTTGGTGGTTCCATAAAGGCAAAGTAACCGTTGTTTCCTGGAAACATGAGGAATGGCCACTCCAGCTGAGTTCCCTTACAAAGTAAGCCTCTGCCACTCTCATTCGGGACACTAGAGTTGTATTAGGGGTGTGGGATTGCTGTGGCTTTTGGAAACCCCCAGCCTGACCTCATGGGGCTCCCACCAAACTTAATGTTGCACAAACTCAAGAGGGAGCAGATAGTCCCTGACTTATTGAGTTCCTTGCTCTGAGGGGCTGGCTAATGAGACTACTTAGTTCAGAGTAGGCCTGGATATTTTGCTTAACTGGCCGATGAGGCCATGAAGAAGTCATTAAAATCTGACAAGAAGGTACTAAGTGCTGCAAACAAACAACCTTCTAACAAAGTTCATTTTTTCCAAATGAGGAAACTAAGTGATTCCTGGGAGCAGATGGATTATGTTCACTCACAGGAGGGAACCAGAAAAGGAAGTTCTCTTGGCAAGAATAAAGCATACATTGCGGTACCTCCCTGCTTTAGAGATGAATCGCCTTGTGTGGCAGAGGCCATAAACCAGGGCAGAGTTCTTAGGTCTGAACTGCTTTTTGGCTTCTGGCCTCCTTACAAGATCACTATCAAAACACAACCGTCACAGCCTGGTCTGGCTGTGTAGCCCTTCCTAAGTCCAGCCTGCGTCTCAGAGCCTTGTCAATATGCCTGCCCATCTAGGAAACACATTTACAGAAAATGATCTCTGACAAAGTTTCCTGGGACATGTGATTCTGATCTGAGTTTTGTCACCATTTATCCCTATAGGGCTTTGGACCACCTCAAAGGGTTTCTGGCAAGTCAAAAACTATTTGGGGACAACACCAGCTGCTTTAGTCCCAGATTCATCACTCAGTTTTTTCAACGCTGACACCTGAGAATTATAACAATAGTTAACATTTATTGAGCAGTTGTTATGTGCCAAACACTATCCTGTGTGTTAATACATTGTTTTTTGCAATAACCCTATGGAACTGACAATATTCTTTTTTTTTTTTTTTTTTTTTTTTTTGAGATAGAATCTTGCTCTGTTGCCCAGGCTGGAGTGCAGTGGTGTGATCTTGGCTCACTGCAACCTCTGCCTCCCAAGTTCAAGCGATTCTCCTGCCTCAGCCTCCCGATTAGCTGGGATTACAGGCACACCCCACCATGCCCAGCTAATTTTTTTTTTTTTTCTTAGTAGAGATGGGGTTTCACCATGTTGGCCAGGCTGGTCTCGAACTCTTGACCTTGTGATCTGCCTGCCTTGGCTTCCCAAAGTGCTCTGGGATTACAGGTGTGAACCACCGCGCCCGGCCGGAACTGGTAACATTCTTATTCTCATGTTACAGGCAAGAAAATTGGGAAGTTAAGGAATTTACCTAAGGTAAATTATTAGTAGATGATGAGCCTGGGAGGCAAACCCAAGTCTGTCTGACCCTAATTTCCTACTCCTATCCACTACCGCCCCCTTGCCATGTAGCAAATTCATAAATTCACCATGGATGTCTGAAATTATCCCTTGTGTAAGCCCCCAGTAAATAGTCTTAGGAACAAGTACTGAGAGATGGGAGATCATAGGGCCTGGTTCCCAACAAATCAGTGCAACAGGGAATTTGTCCATTGTAAGATCCACAAGGAAGTGTGTTGCTTTTGCTTCCTGTTATTTCTCCATGACAAATTTCAGTGGCTGGTACATAGTACATGCTCAATAAATATTTATTGAATGAATAAATGGCCTTGCTCCCTGATTTGTTCAGAGCCTTGCTGACTGTAAGGGCTCTGAGGTGACCTCTAAATTCCCTACATGAAGACACGAGGCAGGGAAAATCTGTGCCCAGTCCCATCAGCACAAATCTTCCTGCGTAATCAAAACATTGCCGGGCCCAGCCAACTAGAGTCCACTGACTTTAATTGTTATTTGCTACCTCAAAATTTTCTCACCCCAAAAGAATGGGTGCTGTTCCTAGAGCTCTTTGTGACAGTTTCTAATTTCTGATACTGTAAGAAGACAGAAATAGGTTCAAAACTCTGATATTCTTTTGGTTGTTTCTTATAAGGCATGTCCTTAAGAAGGTCATTTTACCACTCTGGGTTGTATTCTCCTCATCTGTATTTGAGGGAATGGGACTTTCTACTTGCTGAGGATCTTTTGATCTTGGACATGCTAGTATTTCCTGAAGAGAGTCAAAGTAAGGCACTGCCTCTCCTCATTCCCTAGCCAGACAGCATCCCTAACTCCAGTCTCCACATTGTTAGCAATGTTATTATCAGTATGTTACAGCGGGAGAGAGAATCCAGGACACCAGCTCTTGCCCAGTGGCTCTTCTCAACCTTAAATCCAAGGTAAATGGTGAGCAGGAGGGCATATTGGGATGAATGGGAAATGGGGTGCTCTATGGCAAGCAAATTGCCTTGCATGTCTCTTCACCTTAGGCAAAGAGGCCCGGGAGCCAGAGCTCTGGGTGGTCATGGTGAGCACGGTGGTAATGCCCAGGCCCACACGGGCAGGGGCAGCATCCATGTTGATCCAGAAGGAGACCCAGGACAGGATGACGATGAGTAGGCTGGGGATGTACATCTGAATCAGATAGTAGCCCATCTGCCGTTCCAGGTGAAACTTTACCTCGATGCAGGTGAATTTTCCTGCAAGAAGAGAGGTGAGGTGTCAGGCCTCAGGTCCCCAGTCTGTAGCTGAGCCTGAGGGGATTAGGACAGGACTAGGGCAGCCCTCTGCTGACCAGCCTCTGGGCACCTCAGCCGAGCCAATGAATGAGCCTTTCACAATGGCCCTAGGTAGTACCAGATGTTTGTACTAAGGAAGCTCTCAGAGCCACCATCAAAGACTTGGCCTCTTGCTCCCAGCACTTTGATTTCCACCAGAAGGCTTTTCGCTTGAAGCACAAAAGAGCAGGAGGGCTCCAGATTCAGACTGCCTGGGTTTGAATCCTGAACCTTCCACTCCTTGCCTTTAGGCAAAACACCCAAGTTTTTTGAGCTTCAGTTTCCTTGCCGGTGAAACAGAGTAATGATCCCAACTCCATCACTGGGCTATTGGAAAAACTAAACAAGATAATATATTTCAGGTGTTTGACACATAGGTAGCTGTTACTATTGTTATCATTATTAACAAAGCAATTAGCTTAGACTCCTCTTCGATCTCAGCAGCCATGCTTGTGCTTGCTAGTGCCCCAGAAGCTCTCTAGCAACAACAGTTCACTGGGATAAACACTGCTTGTGTCTTAAGGAAGTGAGAAGATCTGGATAGCAAACATCTGGAACCAATGCCCAACAGAGACCAGCTCCAGACAGCAGGGACCCGGTTCCCACAGAGTATCAGGCTGCAGCATTCTATTCCGCCAACAAAAAGTGCATTGGCCCAGACACACTGACCAATGCTCCACCTTTTTTGCCATCCTTCACTTTGCTTTCCAGGGCCCCAGGGCTAAGAAAATACTAGCTCAGAGCTTCTTTCAGAAGCAGAGGCTCAGGATAATCCAAGCAAAAAGGAGAAGATGCATATATTGTTATTTTATTCTGGCCTAGGTCTAGTCTTAGCAGGCCTACTTGATTCTTCAAAGCCAGTGATTTCGTCAATGACTGATTAAGGCTTTGACATGTTGTATGACGCTGTGACCTCTTACTGTTCCCTGAATCTACCTCACTTCATCCTACCCCGGGATTCTTGCCATGACATGCCTTTATTAGGTATCCATATTTTCTTTCCCTTTTTCCTTTCTATTTTTTTTTGTAATAGCAGTTTTGTTTTAAATTCCAAAATTAAAACTTGTTTAGTATAGAAAAGATGAGAAGTAGAGAAAGAGTAATAACATTCATAAGCTCACATTTATCAAACTCCTTCTAAGGGACCTGACTTAATATACTTTTCTCATTTAATTCTATAGCAACTAATTGGGGCAAGTAAAATTATTATCTCTCATATTACAGATAAGGATATGGAGGCACGAAGAGATTAAGTTATGTTTCCCAAGGGCACTCAACTGGTAAATGATGGAGCCAGAATCCAAACTCAGTTATATCTGCCTCCAAAGTTCTTGTATTACATTGCTTTAGAGACATTTAGTGCTATTTCCACCCAAGGTTTTTAAATGCATGCTTTTGGTTTGTTTCTTTTTACATAAAATAATCATTCTTTATTTACACCTCTGAATTTTACCTTTTTTCACTTGTACTTTCCCACATTGACATAAGCACCTTGTAACCATCCTTTTTAACGTCTGCATGCTAGTCCATCAAGAAGATGCACTATGTAATTTACTTAACCTCTGCCCTATCAGTGGATATTTAAAACAGTTCCAAGTTTTTGCTAATATAAACAGCCACCCAGGAGACCCCTTGGGGTCTAAGGCCAATGCAATATTTTGGAATAGTTCCATATAATACATTTCAAGGAGTAGGATCCCTGGATAAACAAGTCGAAAACAATTTTAGCTTCTAGATTAAAGTTTCTCAAAGTATGTTCGCTGGACTACCTGCATCAGAATCCTGAGGATGCTTGTTAAAATGCAGATTTCTGGGCATCAGTCCAGGTGTATGTAACAGTAATCAGAATCTCTGAGAGGTAGAACCCAGGAGTCAACATTTTAATAGACTTCCCAGGAGAATATAATGCACACTGAAGTTTGAAAACCACTGACCTATATACAAATTAACAACTTTTTTACTCCAAAAAGTTTATACCAATTTCTACTTTCCTTTGCATTTTCTAAATTCTGGCCTTTACCTCTTTCCACTCCCCACACCCCCCACATACATGCGCACACATATTCATGGGGCAGCTCTCAAAGCATATCAGTCCACCATGGGAGGGACCCAGGATCTCCCCTCTTCAGCCTGCTGCCCCTATTTCAGGGACAGAGCTCCTCACAGACAAATTGTCAGGGAAAATGTGTAGCCAGCAATTCTTAGAGAGGCTGCAGCGGGGCAGATGCTCAGGCTGGGAAAGCAGCCTTCTCCACTTCTTAGCTGACATTTCACACCTGGAAGTTCCTGAGAGCTGGCAGTGGTGGCAACAGTGGGAGGCGTGCAACATAAGCTGGCTACTGCCCTCAGGCCTGTTCCCTCTGGGTTCAGCATAGTCACTCCCTACTGCCAGATTCAGATTCCCTGCTTTCACACAAAGCTGACCCCAGGAAAAGTGGGAAACTTTCCTCCCACTGTCACTTGCTCTGCAGCATACCACAGGAACAAGAACATGGACTTTGGAGTTGGAAGGCCTGGATTTAAATTCTGAATCTGCCCTTTACTAGTGGTGTTACTTGGATACCTGATTTAACTAACTTCTTAGAACCTCAGTTTTCCCTTTCTGAAATATGGTATTTATAATCGCTATCACAAAGAGATAATGTATATGAAGCACCTGGCCCCATATCTGACATAGGTTGAACCTTTGATAGAGGTGAGCTGCCTTGTCCCCTTGCCTCGCATCTGAAGATTTTCCTGTGGCTCACAGCCAATAAAGATCCTGGTTTTTACCTGTGTTGTAGTGCTTGGTACAATAGCCTAGATCCTTCTCATCCCGCAAGATAAACTGGGGCAGAGTCAGCCCCTCAGCCACTTGGACAGCAGGAGCATCTTCCAGCCACTCAAACACGAGGTCATTCATGGTGTAGCCAACTGAAAGTGACAGAGATGGCAGAGGGCTGCAGAGTGTGGGTGTTGGGTGGGGGTAGGGGTAGGATCAGAACAGGCAGGAGAGAACAGGTGAGGAGTAAGGCCTAGGGTTTAGGAGCTTCATGCTCATCATGGAAAGGGAAACTTTTCTGGAGAGGACACTTGGTCAGTTGTCTCATGGGCCCATCCTGAGTGGGCAGTTGAATCAGGAAGATCACAGACTTTTTCCCTACCCTGTTCTCAAGCTTGAGAAAGGCCTAAAGAGAAATTATTCTGGCAGACCTAGAAAGCAGGTCAAAAGGGTTGGAAAGATGTCAAGGAACTCAGCTGGGAGCTTCCTGCCATACCTCAAGCCCAGGGGTGGAAGCATGTGTACCGAACACATGTGTTAAGCTGAGCTAACCTCAGAGCCGGGGCTTCTGCCACATCACCTCGGGGAGGAGAGAGCTATTTATATCCTGCCAGTCATCCGTGGGACAATGTGCATACCATAGATCCCAACCAGGGCCTTTAGTTGGCACAAATTTAAAGTTAATATCTGAACATGCCAAGTTATTCACATATAGCAGTTCATGAGGGCTCATGCCACGTATAGGACCATATTTGCACATGTCAGGTAGAGATGGGAGCACAAACACCAAGGCTCACAAATATCCAGTGTTGGGCCTTGACCCAGAGTAGCTCTGTGATTTTGGGTGAGTCGCTTCCCCTTCTGTAAAATGGGAGTTATAGTAGCAGCTCTACCCACTTTTCAGAGTTGCTGTGAAGGGACAATGAGAGTCTGGATGTGAACGTGGTTTAAGCACTCTAAAGAGCTGACCACATAGGACACATTCTATTCATCACAGTTATTTTATAAACGTTTTTCTGTTAACCTCTAGTGGATGGCTCCAGATCTTATAGTCTCCCCCAACCCAGGAGATGAGGAAGGAGTGGAAATAAGTGATGGCCCAGCCTTGTCATCCTTCGGTTCCTCTGCATTTTGGGCAGCCCCTCCAGGTTGGCACCCCTGCCACGGAGGAGCCCTTGGCTGACCTCTTCTTTCTGGGCACTGTCTTGTGCCTAGAACTGTCCTCTCCAAACTCTCTATAAAGGTCATCTGTATTCGTGGGGAATCGGGGCTCCAAGAGTGCCACCACCTTGCTCACCCTGGCATTTTTATAAGCATCTTCAATATCTTAACTCAAGGGAAGTAAAGGTAAAACTACTTCAGGCACTGTGAGAGGGGACATACCTTTGGTCAGAGAAGATCCCACTCAAATAGCCCCCTCAAAACAGCACAAACGCATCTGTCCATAAGGCCGGTGCCTTCCTGTTTCCCAGCCCCGCAAAACAGCCAGATCAGCAAATAGTGTGGGGATGAAAAACACACTGGGCTAGGGGTTAAAGAGCCCTGGTTTCTAGTCTCATCTCTTGCCAAGAATTGGCTGGGTATCCTTGAGCAGTTCTTTCCAACTCTGAGTGGCCCTTTTCCTGTCTGTGATGTCATGAGCTCGGGTTAACTGGCTGTTATTCCAGGCCCTCTGTGACCCTCTAGAGGCACTTACAGCTCTCCAGCTGCATTGTGCAGGTCTGAATGTCCATGGGGAAGTTCTTGAGGTCCATCGGGCAGGACAAAACGAGAGTCAACCTAGTAGGTACAGTGAGGAAAAAGTGACATCGGCTTACTGGGGCCCATCACAGCACAAGGGAACCCTCCTCCCACCTCTCGGTCTCCATCTAAATTCTTCCCCTTGACACAAACTCTTCTGGCCATCCACCCAGTGCACCTGATACTGTAGAGCACATTCCCATTCTTGAAGATGCGCAGTAACTTGTTGTCCGTTGTCACCTCGTGGAAGCTGGCCCCTTTCTCATTGGCAAAGAACAAGTCTGGCTTCCAGATAGAGTCCAGCATGGAGGGATCAAGGTCCAGAGAGTTGTCAGGATATTCTTGGTAGGACAGGCGTGGGTCATTCCACTGTTGCCGCAAGAAGACATTCACCCGGTAGTCCTAGGAGGGTGCAGATATGGGCCCATTAGAGGCATTGCCATTCCCAGGGGCCCAGCAAGCCTGTATGAGCAGGAGGGTCATGAGGAGGAAATGTTGGGAGCACATCTCAGGGGCAGTAGGCATTTTTCACTGGAGAAGGAGCCTCCCTTGGGCTGATATGGCAAAAGATGCCAGCTTGCTATATGCTGGGCTCCTCCCATTCACACTAGGCTGGAAGTGGGGAGTAGGAAGATCCCTTACCATGGTGGTCTCAGTGACGGAGCCAAAACTGTTGATGAAGATGTTGCAGGTCACGTTCACGGGTGGGCCTGAGGGTAGTAAAGCACAGGCCATTGGCAGCACATTCCAGGAGGCTGGGAAAGTTTCCAGAACTCCCTCACTGAGCTGCGGATCAGGGCACTGCTGAGAGAAATCAGTGCCAGCTACACAGGCCTATGGGCAACGGGGAGGAGAGGCCTCTTCTGAGCTGTTAGAACCACCTCTACACCTCCAGCCTCCTTTCCTTAGGGGAGGGAATAGGGGCAGGCTGGGTAGTGTGCTGCCAAGGGTTTGTGAAGGGAGGGGTTTTCATAGGATGAAGATTTCTTACCTTTAAAATTTGGCCGAATCCTGGCATCATATCCAGATGTTCGCCCCATAAGCTTGTCTAGGAAATCAGAGGGGGACATGGGCTGGGATCCCTTGGTCCCAGATTTGACTTCCTCTTTTGCCAAGGCCACCCTGGACAGGAGAGGTAAAGAAGTCTGAGGCCAGTTGTATTCTGCATTTATCACAGTTTCCATACCCCTCAGGCAGGAGGAGAGAAGAGAATGGGTTTCTGGATGCCATTTGCAAAACGAGAAGAAAAACAGCCATAAGGCAACACAGCAGCCTGCCAGTTAGTACTAGAAAAGTGTTTTCACAGACAATAGGTCTTCTTACCCTCCCAATTCTCAGTGAGATGGGGGTAAGGACTGTCACTCCCATTTTACAGATGAGAAAACTGAGGATTCAAAAGGAGAACTGACTTGTTCAAAGTCTCAGAGTTAGTGAGAGTCAGGACTCAAACCCCAGGCTAAGGCCTCATCCATTGTTCTCTTTCCGAAGGTACTTGGAAAACACCAAATGAGTGATGTCTTGTGGGAGATGACGTGGCTACCGCAAAGTTTTGCATGTCTAGCCTTGTCAAGGTTGGGAAGGGCTCAAGGACAACTTTTGTTTCTGAGAGTTGGTGTCAGTTGCTTGGATTTTATGCTGGGCTGCTCAGGAAGGAACTAGGACCCAGCTTCTGAAAAGAGAGTTTCGGCTTCTGGCGTGTGCTCCAGCAGGAAGCTCTGTTTGGGCTATATTTTAGCTAAGTGCCATGCCACTGCAGGCAGGTGAACTAGTGTTGGCAATTATGGTGGGAGAGCAGGGCTCTAGGGAAAGGGGATGGCCTCCCTGTAGGGTAGACATGCTGAGGTCAACTCCCATCTTCCCCACAAGCTTGAGTTTGAGGAAGGAGCCAGTGCGCTTTGGCATAGCTTGGAAGCCAGCTCCCTTCTCCTCTAACAGGTTTCTCTCTAACAGCAGCTAAGCCCCTTCCATATGCCTAGTTGCCAACTTGCCAGCTAACAGATAAACTAGGGACCACAAGCTCAGCAAAGCCTTGGAGACAAGAGTAGTCCACAGGGCCGAGCTCAGCTGGACTCCAGGCTGGGCCAGGCACCTCCTGCTCCCTCCTGCCTGCTGTCATTGATCTATAGCCGGCTCCACCACTGTCACTGCTGCTGCACACTGGAGGACTGAGCAGCGGGGTGACTGCTGTCCTGCTGAGGACTAGTCTTCTTTGAGCCAGTGGGCTCCTCTTTCCCAGTAGATCCCTATACCATTCAGTGACCGATAGAATAATAAAAATAGCTAAGGTACCATGCTAAATGCTTTGCACACTCTGTCTAGTTTAGTTCTCACATCAGTCCTCTAGACTAAGTGTTATAATTACCCTCATTACATAAATGAGAAGACTGAGGATCAGCAAAGTGAAGTGACTTCTTTCCAATCATGCAGCCAGTGAGCGGTAAAGTCAGGATTGAATCCAGACCTATTGTCTTCAAAACTAGCTCTATCTATCACAATACTATGGTACCAGCCCAGGGTGGGTTGCCAAGGAGCCTAAGTTAGGGAAGGTCAGTGACAGTCCCACCCTGACCTTCAAGAGTCCTGCCTCCTTGAATCTTCTAAACAAGAGGAAGCCCTTACCCTAGGGACAGAGGCAGGCTCTGAAAAATCCAAGGAGGCTGGTGGTGGTGGTGGAGCAAGCAGAAGTCTATCATTTCACCACAGGATGTCCAAGCTAGCCAGGTGCTGCTGCTGCTGCTGCTGCCGCCGGCCACCTGCCACCTGCCTGCTGGGAGGCCACATGGCCCTGCATGTGGAGAAAATGGACCCTCCCTACCATCCTCAGCCCCACTCTCAGGTCACCTCTCCTGCTAGTCCTAGCCCTAGTATCCTGGGACAGGCTATGGGCTTAGCTGTCTAGGGCCCCATCCCCCATTGCCCCCTCTTCTGGGGCTAACTTGTCTGAGGACCTGAGAGCAGAGTCACTGTGTGCAGCCACTCCTTCCTCTCTTTCATTCCTGGAAAGTCCTAAACACTGACAGGACCTAGGAGGATCCAGAGCTGACAATCTTTCTCCTGCAAGGTTCTAGGGCGGCATGGGGAGAGAACTCTCACTCTGGTGCTCGGTAGCTGAGTGACCTTGGGCAGGTCATTCCCCCTCTCTAGGTCTCAGATTCCCTATGTACAATGAAGGACTTGGACTCCAGACTCTCTAAGGGCCCGTGTTGCTCTAACTGCCTCTGCTCTCCAAGCCCCAGTGGGAAAGCTGCCACCGGAGCTTGGGCGTTAAGGCAGTCTCCCCTCCTGGAGGGCCAGCAAGGCCCAATGTGGTGCCCCCTTCTGCCTGCACCCTCCTGTCAACTCCAGCTGTGCTGCTGTTCCACTTCAAGCTGCTTTTCACTCTTTATAAGTTTATTGCCCCGCTCTGCATCCCTGCCTGCCTGCCAACCAATGTATCTGCAAACAGTGGGGCAGGAGGCTTCCCAGAGGCAGCAGCCCTAGGATGTTTCTTGGATTAAGAGGAGGAAGAGGAGGAGGATGCTGCAGTGGCACTGACCCTCTCCACCTTAGGAGGCACTGCTCTTATGAGCAAGTCAGCCCAGGCTATAGCCGTCTTTCCTGCTCAGCTCACCCTGCCAACCTAGGCTGGCTCCTGGTCTAATGAGAAAGGGGCGATTGGTGGGGGGATATTTACAGGGAGCCCAAAGCATGTCTTTCCTGCAAGTCCAGGAAGTGACTGCTACTTTGTGCCCCTCAAGGAATAAAGAGCAACCAAGTGAGCACAGGCAGGGTGACTACAGGAAGTCCAAAGAATGTCTAGCCCAGCTCCATTCCGATGTGGCCTTAGGGCAAACCCCTGCTACTGAAAGCTCCTTGGGCTGGCAGTTGACAGATGTTGCTGTCATTTTTAGGGATCTGAGCAGTGTGTGGCCCAGACAACAGGGAAACAGGGTTAGGTGTCTGGACAGACACCCTCCATTCTCAGGCTTAGTTGCCTAGCCCCTACCGAGGCCCAGGAAACTTCCACCTGTGCAGAAACATTCCCAGCATGAACAGAGCCTTGACATCGCTAATAAAAAGCTCCTGGGGTCCTAAGTGGGGGAGGGCGTGTCATTCCCGAAGCCCTCCAGACTGCGGGCTTTGTGCAAACTTAGAGGAAAGTGTGCCAGATGCCCAGCTTGCCCATCCCCCTCGGCTGGTGTTTGCATGCACCTCCTTTTCACCCCCACTTAGCTCACCTGAGGAGGACCTGCCCTGGCAGGGTCCAGAGGAGAAGGAAGGAGAGGGTTGTCATTCCGCGGGGATCTTGGAGCCCTTTCTCAGCCTGGCTGCCAACGTGAGAGGGGTATCCCTGCAGGAACGCCAAAAGTACAGAGCCTTTCTCCAACTTGGGCTGCTCGCAAAGAGCCTCCTCTCTCTCCTCTTCTGTCTCTTCTCCTCTGGCCTGTCTGTACCTGCCAGGGGCCAGAACTATTCTTCTGGAAATGATCCTGACACAGATAACCCTACTGGCTTCTGCTCGGGCTCGCCTTGGGCTCTGGAGGGCCTTAGCCTGCCAGCCGGGAGCTAGAAAAGATTCTGTCTGGACAGCAGTCACTCTCCAAACCCTGAAGAGTCTTGGAGGGGAGGGAGGAGGGAGACCGGTAGGAAGATGCTTTCCTGCCTCCCACCTCCCTCTAGATGCACCCTCTGAAAGCAGCAATTTAAAGGCACAGTCGGCAGCAGCTGGAGTGGGGTTCAGAGCCTGCCTGTGTGCTGGGGAGGAGCTTGGGCTGCTGTGGCTGCCTGGGGAGGGCCGGAGGTGTTCTGTCTAACCTCTAACTCCCCAGCTGCAGGAGGGCATATAAGGGTCCCTGCCCCCCCTCCCCCCACCTCCCACACCTGACCAGCTTTCCTTTCATTCTGGAGCCAAGCTGGGGCCCAACAGTAAAGTCCTGACAATTTTTACAAGGGGGAAAAGGACCTGAGAGCGTTTAGGCAGAGCTACCAGGTATCCTCAAGCTGACAGCTTCACGTTAGAGAGAAGGTGAAGAGGCTGAGGGCAGGGACAGCTTTCCCCCGACTCTCTGGATAGAGGCACAGAGGATGCATGACACAGAGGATCTCGGGAACCCTCCTCCTGTGTGGTCTGCTTGCTTGACAGTCTGTCTGTCTACCTGCCCCCATCCCCCTTTGCCCTCAGTTGTGCACCCATTTCCCTGCCTGCTTTTCTCCCTTAGGTCGTCTCTTGGGGTCCTCTATAGCTCTCAGAATTCCTCATTCCAGACACCCCTTCCCCAGCCTGGCTCATGGGAAGAGACAGAGATGCAGAGCAGGACTGGGACACAGTAGGCTTTGCAGGTTTCAGAGGAATCGCAGTGGGGCAGGAGCAGTAACCTAGCAGCCCTCAACCCTGGATGGAGGACAGAGGCAGAGGGGTAGGCTGGCCTTCTCCCTTGCCTCCTGCACATTTGCTTATAGCAACCAGGTGCTTCGGCAGCTCCATTTTCTCCTGCCTAACCCTTCCTCAAATGTTCCCATGTGTCATCTAAACACCTCTGAGACTTCTCCCCTCCCCCATTTCCTCTTGCTCTCTCTTCTTTTCTTCACTGTACTCCTTTCTTCCTCCCCCTCTCTCTGAAGGTTTCCTTCATGGACCCTCTGTCCATCTCCATCTCCAGTCTCCCTCCCTGTTTGTTCTCTGGGTCTCACTTTCTGTGTCTGTCTTCCTCTCTTCTTTCTTCTTCACTTTTCTCCATCCCTGGTTTTGTCTTTCCACCTCCCTTGTATCTTCACTCTCTCGTACGCTCTCCCAAACACAACAGTGAGAAGCCAAGGGTTTTCATTTCTCCTTCAGGGGGAACACTCCCACCAGCTCTGTGGAGTTCTGGTTGCATGCCATGGGGAGGGGTCTGTGCCACCTTCGGAGGGTCAATCCCAGAGCTGATTGCAGCCTCCCCAACCTTGCCAGAGAGGGTTTGAGGTGGTTGGAAGCTTCTCCTCCTATATAGAAGGATTAATAATGAGGCAGCCATGGGTGGAACCTGTGCTGCAGCTCCCTTTTGGTTGTGTTGTTAAGGAAGAGAAAATTTTAAACCATAAATGAAAGGGAAAGAGATAATTTTAAATACACACTAAAATATTGATAGGAGAGCTGGGCTTTTGGAGTTGGGACTGAGAGTTCTACAACCCTCAAATAATGCTGATATGGTCAGTACATGTAAAATATCCTGAAACATCTTTAGCTGCCATTTCACCAGCTCACCCTCCTTCCTTGTTTTCTTTAAACATCATGATCCCCACTGCACAGGCAGGAACTGAGCCTTACAGAGCCTCCCAGGGCATCTTGCTGGGGGTCTGGCGGGGAGAGGAGGTGGCTCTTGTCTCCTCTGTGCAACTCACTTGGTCTGGCAAAACTCATCATGTCATTTCTCCTGCTTCAACAGTTTCCCATTGCTCTCAGGCTGCAGCCCAAGGTCGGTCACTCTGCTTGTCCTAATGATGCATCTAGAGTTGCCTGTTCTGTCTCTCCAGCTTCCTGGTGGTTTTGTATGTTGTTCTCTTTATTCAAAGTACTCTTCCCTCCACTCTTACCCTTCTGGACTGAGTCTTGTTGTCATTTTGTCAAGGAAGACTTCCGGAGCTGCTCTCATGTCCCTTGGGTTTAGGATAGGAGACTCTCCAATGTGTTCCCACAGGACCGTCACCTTCGAAGCACTCTGTCACACTGTCACATTACCAGATTACTTGCCTGTCTCCCCTATTATCTTATGAGCTTCCCTGATGAGCAGAGACACATCATCCACCAAATCCCCAGCACACTATAGGCAATTAGTGAACATTTGTTAAAAGATGCATCCTGGGCAGGAATATTTCCTCAAGCTCAGTGCCTCTGCATCTCTCTCTGTCAAACAAGAAGTTTGACACACAGAGAGAGGCCGGCATGAGGTAGCGGTAATAAGAAGAAATGAGAAAGCAGGTTTTTTTCCCCTTGTCCCTTGCTAATGGAAGGCATAGGCCCCTGGGGGCCTGTCTACTGTCTTGGGTCTCACCTCCTGTGTGCCAGTGGGATCTCTTAGTGCTCAGATCATAGCAGGATCAGCTTCATGGGAGGAAAGATCCCTTCTTGTGAGAGGCTGCAGCCATGACCAAATGTCTAGCTGACATGATGAAGAGATACAGCTTTCCTAGGGTGCTGGAAGAAGGCTCTTGGGGTATAGAAGGGAAAGTAGGCAAAGAACTGGGTAAGCTGCACTAGGAGTTCACAAGCAGCAGGAGAGATGTGCATTGGAAGAGTTCCCTGTACCAACAGGAAGCCACACTCTCCAAAGATGACCTCAGCATTTTCTGCTGTGGGAAGGGTACTAAGTTTTGTCAAGCCTCCCCCCATAACCTTTTCCCTTCTCCTCACTATACTATGGCATATATGCCATAGTCCAAAATGGATTGCACCCTTTTCCTGTTTTGCAATTGGCTGCCATACTCACCTGAGAACTGGCTTTATTGCAGTGCTGAGGTTGTATAGAAGCTACAATAGGCAAAATGTTTTTCAGAATGAAAGTATTATTTTGTCATGAAAAAACTCCCAAGCTGCTAAAAATTGATTAAGCACATTTTCATAAGTGTTTCATTCCAGAAAAGAGTCTGTCACATTTCAGCCCTATGCAGGGAAAATTATAACTGTGCCCTGTGGACAAGCAGGCTTCCTGGAACCTCAGTCTGAGGAGCAGCCAGCAGGTCTGCATTGGGATGGGTATTGTTTGGTAAATTCAGTGACTTCTAGGGCTACATCTTGGGGGGCAAAGTTGGAGAACCATTTGGCATACCTTCCTGGACTCAACTCCAATTACCCAGATGGTATGGCCCCCGATTGCCTATCTCACTCATCGAAGTAGAAAGTGAGCTGAGGGGTACCTTGAAAGGCAGGTTGTGTTCCCCAATCTAAGGAAATGCTCAGAGCTTTAGCTACTCTTCAGAAGCTCTGGGTTAAGAAGTTGGCAGGGGGTTGAAATAAAAGACGCCTTTAAAAAAATCTGCTGACGATGACCGTGGCGTTTCAGTTGGATCTCTAAGGAGCAAGGCTGCATCTTTTTGCTGCATGTGAATTTTTCTTTTCAGGGTTATTTTCAACTACCAAGGATATGACAATTTACTTGAAAGCGGAGGCTCAACTTCTGGTGCTAAAGAACACTGGCATCAAAGACAGGAAGCCCTTTCACCCTTGAGAGTTAAGGGGATGGTGACCAGTGTGTGGGGGCAATAGTGGTGGTGGAGGTTTCACAGTCTAGACTCAGGTGGAGGAAGGAAGAACAAAACTGCAGATGTGATAGACATATTTAGTGCTCTTTTGACTTTTGGACAGTGACTGGTTCAAGTCTGTTGCTTGAAAAATTTGGCTTCATTCTTTTGTTTAATGGAGTGTTTCAGGTATGGGTTTTTCAGACAAAACCTTAAGTATGTGAACTTGGGGGAGGCCAGTGGAGAGGTTAACTGAGTTCCTCTCAGTCTCCAAAGACAAACGAGGTATCAGCACCAGGACGGCACCCAGTGAGCAATGGCCGTGCCTCTGTTGCTGGGCTCTGTCAGAATCCAGGGAAAAACAGAGTGGTGAATCTACAGCTAGGGAAGGTATAGTGACTAGCATCCAGATATGCATCATTTCTCTCCTTCTGGTTAGACCTTCAGAATAGTTACTCATCATATCAGCCACTTGAAAGCAATTCACTAGCTGTGCAGAAGAGTTTCATTAAGGTTTCCACAGAGTTTGCATTGACTCTCCTTGTCTCTTGGTTCTCGTAACTGCAGCGTTCTTGTTCGGGGATGATAGGACCATATCACGCCTCTCCTCAAAGGTAAATTGGTTTTTGCTTGTGATCATGTTCATGAATATCTTACTTTACTCATTTGGGGATTGTGATAATGCATGCTATATAAGGCATGAAGCACTTACATAACATAAAAGCAATAGAACTTGGAAAAATAAATACTTACTGTGTGAAATGGATCACCCTCCCACTAATTCATGCATTCATTCAACCAATATTTATTGAGTACGAATCATATGCCGGATATTCTAAGCTCTGGAGATACAACAGTGAAAAAAAAAAACAGTTGGAGTCCATGCCCTCATGTAGCTTACATTCTAGTGGGTCACTAATGTAATTCCTTCCCAAAGAAGGCTTCTGCCTGTGTCATCAGCAATGCCCCAGGACCTGAGTGCCTCTCACAGCATATGAGTAGGAATTTATTAAATGGTCTAGAAAATAGACTATTTTTCAGCAGGTAGTAATGAGCTTCATTTTTATTTATCCCAGAATATTTCTGCTAGTCACATCACACAGGTCACCATCTGCTAGACAGCCTTTCAAGAAGTTCATCCTTCAATAATCCAACCCTACAGAACACGCATGCTTGAGTTTCATGGTTATCTGTGGTGATGCATACATATTTGTCTGCAACTGTTAATAAGCACCTTTCTCACTAGGAGAGTTAGGCGGGATTAATGGCATCCTTAGCTGTGGTGCTTCTCTGAGTGATTTCAATTATATAGGATCCTTCTTTCCTTCCTTCCTTCCTTCCTTCCTTCCTTCCTTCCTTCCTTCCTTCCTTCCTTCCTCTGCCTTCTATCTTTTCTTTTTATCTTTCCTTCTGTTTATCTTTCTGTCTGTCCTCCTGTCATTTCTTCTGTTTTTCCTTTTTGGTTTTACCATGAATAAATTCAATGTTTGCTGTA